TTTACTAAAGCTGATAGACACAATTTTTAAAATATTTTAATTAAAGAACAATAATAAAGATAAAAAATATATTTGGACTCATTAGATTAAGGATTAGATAATCAAGAGTACATAAATCTGTAGCTATAAATGTTAAGAAACATAATTATTGCATAATTTCAAATTAATAAATACAATAATTTATTTTAACTTTATTTTTTAGAATATTATATTATACATTACCAAAAAGAAAATGCACAAATTTTTTTGATTATTTATAAACAAATATGGAAAGTCTTTGGAAATTTATATTTGAACTTCAAAAATTATTTCAAAGTTTTTAATGCAAAAAATAGTATGTATCTAATTTGCATTATTTTTTATAATAAAAATATTGAAATTAATTAAATAATATTCTCTTTTCAAAAAATAATTTTAATAAAAGTTTGTAAATCTTTTCAAACTTTTCACTAAATTTTATTTAAATAAATCATTAAATCATTTAAATAGGTTAATTACAACAAGGACATTTTTTCATTCTTCTATTATTGATTTGTGGATAATTTAAGCTTTCTTATTATGTAAATCTAAAATATTTACATAATGATTCTCTGAATAATATTTTACTTTTTTGGAATTTGAATTACATAATTGGGATTTCAATAACAATAAATGAAATGAAATGGCGATATTATAAGTAAATTTAAAATAAGAAAAACTTTTTATTTTAGAGTAAGAGTTTTGTCAGTAAAAATATTTAAACCCCAGTTCAATACATATTCAAGATAAATCTATTTGAACAACTTATTACTAATGTATTTGATGAAGTATTCAATTTAGATTTAGGCTAATGATAATTTTGGCAATTTAATTTACCTTGATGATTTTAGCAAAAAAACAAATTTAAAAGTTTAAAATGCAAATTAAATATTTTGAAATAGTTTATTATAAATAGATACTTAAAGTTTACTAATTATCATTTTTTTTTATCTTAGTTTTTAAACTTAAAATTACTAAATTTTAGATTAATTCATATGAAATTCTTGAAAAATATTTCAATTTCAACAATTTTAAATAGGATTAAATTTGATTATGAGTTTGTTAAAGTTTTGGTAAAATTCTGCCACTCAGATTCATTAATAATATTATTTTAGTTATGAATTTATTGAAAGAAGTAAAGCTAAATAATTAATTAAGAGAAAAAACTGAAGTTTTTTAATCAGCTAATTAAAGTTCAATATTACTATATCCTCTGCATACTTGATTGCCCTCTTCATTTAATACTATATCTTTAACCTCTATTTATTTATGGAAATTCATTAACTTCATCATGCTTAAGAATTCAACCAACAATTGTGCAGCACCTAAATCTCAATCCATAAATGAAACTAACATTTTTATTAATCATATTATCATCTTCAAGTATATATTCCCAGATACTATTAATTTTCTTTAATTTTATTCAATCCAACTGAATAATTGTAATAGGCAGAGGTAAATGTTTTCATTTTTTAGTTTTGGAATTAAAATATTGATAAAACATATGGATAAGTGTTACTGAAAAAATATTCACCTTTCTTCATACCAGTTTCATCCTTTATCATTTGAATTTCTCCGCCTTATTTTATTTAAAATTTAAAGTAAAACGCCACAAACTCAAAGACTGATAATAGAGGATTTGAAAAGGATTTTACTTCTACTAAATGTTTTTTTTTAATTTTTTACTCCAATGAAAATTGAATCCAAAATTCTATTAGTCTCAGCAACTGATTCTTCAGCTTCTTTCTTTATATTGTTATCTTTTTAGTTTCAAATTGTGCTTTTGTTTATTCAACAGATAAATTTTTTTAAGTTTCAACTGTTTCTTCTTTATCTATTTCCTATCTAGCCATAACTTTTCAGTTTCAATAGCTGCTCCCTCTAATTTATATTGCTTATCCTTAAGTTAAATTTTCATTTCTGAAACAGCCCAATTAGCAGCTAACTTATTCCATTAATTTATGCATAATTCAACAATCTTTTCTAATTATTACTACAACCAAATTCAGTTTAATATTCTGTCAATTAACCTCTTCCTAACTAAACTAAAGCTGCTTCTGACCACTCGGTTGACCAATATTAAGTGGATATTATTCTTCACTCTTACTAAATATTAAGCAAAAGCATTATTAGGAATTAATTACAAATTGCTTTTCAAACACTCTTCCTTACATAATGTAGTTTCATCCATATCTTTGTCTTAATAAAGATTTTTCATATCATCTGAATTTAATATTTAATTTATATCTTATAACATTTATTCGTTAATAATCTATGTATCTAATAACTACATGATACTCCTCTATTTTCCATCATTAAAACCTTCCCTCCATAATCTCATATTATAAGTCTTTAGCACCTCTTTCTAAATAAATCTATAATATGATATAAAATTAAATGCTTTACCAAAAATTATCTACCACTACCTTTTACTTCAAATTGTAATGCATTTCCTTTTGATTACCTCAATACTCTACTAATATGACAATTAAAAGAAGGAATCTGCATTATTAATGAATATACGATCGAAACTTAGAATATACTCTTTTTCCTAGCTAAAGTGAGCAAATAATTATTAATTCTGTATTCATCCATCTATTATGGAAAACTCTCATATTTTCGCGAAACCAGAATTATAAAATAGCTTTAGCATCTGTGCAATATTTCTAAGAAGCTTAATAAATTCCCTAAAACACATTTTTTAGATCTCTTAAG